AGAAGCTTGGTGAACACAAAATTATTCCCTAAACCAGCGTTTCCCAAACTATGGGCCGCGGCCCGGTACCAGGCTGCAGGAAAAAAATACTGGGCCTCAGCATGCCTGGTGGCTACTGAACCCGGACGTGCCAGTGAGTTACAGAGCCGGGGGCCCTGAACCCGGACGTGCCAGTGAGTTACAGAGCCGGGGGCCCGGCTCCACCAATATGTGGAGCTGGGTCTCTCCCCCGGCTCTGCCTGAAGAAGGCCCTGGCCCGTCGCTGCCGTTTGTGGCTCCTTCTCGCTGGCGGCTGCCCATGCGCAGCGTTGCACGTGAGCAGGGAGGACGTCACGGCCCGGGATTTTAAAACTCCTTGGAGGCAGATTGCGGGGCTGCCTCCGGCCCTGCAACATGGAAGGCAGAAGGCAGGGAACGGGCTTGGGCGGCGGCGGGGGAAGAGAGGAGAAGAGAATATAGGTGAGGAGGGGGAGGCGGAGGCGGCGGGGAAGGGAAGAGGCTTGGGGGGGGGGGGGGGGAGACTCCAAAGGAGTCTGTTTTGCTGCTGCCAACGGAGTTCCCAGCAGCAGACAAGGTTTGATCAGTTGTTACTCTTGCTGCAGCTTGTGAAAGCTATAAGCAGCAACAGATGTTGAAGCTCTGTCTGCAGATTCAGGAGGAAAACATTGCAGTTATTTATTCTTGGTTCCCATTTGGAAGTTGCTTTATAACCAGAAGAGGTAGAATAAAAAATTAAATAAAAGGTTAGAATCTGTAAAAATTAGTGGTGCTTGATGGTGAAAGCTTCTTTTCTGGACTTTTTTCAAGTTTGGGTGAAAATCAATGAGCTACACTCACTCTCACTCTGTTCTGAAGTGCTATGGAAACTTGCTAATAGGATTATTTTTAAATGAACAGTAACCATTTAAAATAACTAGACTAAGTTCAAAATAGTGAAGTGAAATTCCTTTGAGTAAGAAAACAAGAGAATATTGTCCTAGCCTGTGAGTATGTGTTTGAGCAGGAAAAATTTACTGACTTCGATTTCATGGAAAATAATTGACACTCTGGGTTTTCCCAGAAGGAGGCAGCATTGTTTCAGAAATGTCTTATACTGATTGTTCTTTAAAAGTACTTGGTTTTCCTCATGGTTGATAGGAATTTTTTCAAGTCTCTTCTCTGAAAAATAAGTGTGTGTGTGTGTGTGTGTGTGTGTGTGTGTGTGTGTGTGTGTGTGTGTGTGTGTGTTTTTTTCCCCCCCCCCCCCCCCACACACACACACACACTCATGCAGCCTGAGCACATTTACCAGCCAGGCAGTTCGAAACTACAAATTGATACATCTAGTAATAATAAAACTTACCTAATGAGAAAATACCAGACATGTTATATGTCTGGTATTTTCTCAGTTTGTTTTTTGTGTTTATATTTTTGGGCTGCAAAAAGCAGTATTGGGGAAAAAAGGGTTCCAACTAAAGTAAAAAGTTTGGGAAACCCTGGTCTAACCAGCTTTGTCTGTCTTACACTCCATTTATCCAATCCATATTCCTTAACTTGCTGGCAAGAATATTGTGGGTGACCATATCAAAAGCTTTGCTAAAGCTGGCACTGGGGGTTTTGGGAGGACCAGAAACAACTTATTTGAATATTCATCATTTGATTAATGTACATGCAAATGAACATTACCGGTCCTCCAAAAGTTCGTGAATGGATTTACTGGTCCCCTTGTCAAAAAGTTTGGGAACCCCTGCCCTAAACTGTTAGGTTTGCTGCAAGCACTCCAGCAGTGCTACTCTGAAATGCTGACGGGCAACCTGGAAATCATTATCCCGTTAATGATGTAAATAAAATAAGCAAGTACTTGGAGCCCACTAACTGTGTGGAAATACCAAAGAGACTGCTCAATGAGAGGCAGGAAGCCTACAAATGTTTTCATCTCTTCCTTGATAATATATGAATATCTTCCTGTTTCAGTTTTCAGGGAGGCTTATTCTCTGCTCCTCCCACTTGATATTTGCTGAAACTTGCACAACACCTAAGAGGTGTTGAGAAGAGGTGAGGAAGTTGAATTGGAAATACATTTACAATAGAAGTAATGCTGCTCCATGGTCTAGTGAAATTATTAAAACAATCTGTGTTGGGATCTGTATGCATGAAATACTGTGTAAACCTAGGCTTATCATGTATTCTGGTACCTTTCTCTAATCCTGAAATCTGATATGTTCCCAGCATTTCCCCCATCCTTATGCAAGCTAAAACACTATTTAATCAACCAACCAAAAAACATTTTTAGAAGCTGCTCTACTTAGTTGGAAAGAATTTACAGGCAGAGTGAGTAAAAACTGAAACACTGTCTCTGCATTTGTTTCAAAGCAAACACACATTTTCAGTGTTTGAGTACTTTTAAATTATGTTTTGGATAATATCTTTTTTATTTGCAATAGTGAATTTGCAATCCGGTTATTCAGTTTTCTTGTCTGATCCTGCTCTAACGTCTTGTTCCCAATCTCCCAATATTGTTGTAACAATGCATGAAGAAAAGCATTAAATACATTAAATTTGTTTAGTGATAGGCAAATCTCAAATAATTCAGGGAATTTTGATATATATAATAGGTAACCTATTACATGGTTTTAGATCAAATATTTGTCTTGGAAACCAGTTCTTCCATGTTGCTATTTGTGAAATAATTCTTATGTACTTTAAATAGCTGGTTGTCTTTAACAAGTAAGAGGACTCCTGCAGTTTGACAGAGTGACTGTCATGGGTCATTCTGCATCTCTCAGCCCCTCCTTCTGCCCTCAATCACGTAGCTCCCCTTCCCTGTGCTCCGTGAAAGCCACGAGCCATGCGACCTCCCCGATACTCCAACCCAGTGAGGCCAGGCGTGGCAGGAGCCATGAGCTGCATGGCTTCTGGGGCATGCAGCTTCTTCCCACTCCCGGTGCTCTGGGGAGAGGCTGCCCGGCTGCCCTACTCTGTCCCCTTCCCTCCAAGAGCCCCTATTGGCTCCATGCTACACAGGGTGAGGGTTAAACCCTCCTCCCCCCCCCAGCTCCACAACTCACGGGCCGGAAGTGAACCCTCAGGGCGCGTGGCTGCTGGAATTTAAGTTGAACCATGTGGCTCCTCTGCTGTCTGGGGCAGGGAGGAGAGACGAGCAGGAGCCGGGGGGAGTGAGTGGGTGCAGTGTGGGCTCAGGTGGAGAGAGGGAGGCACGCGGGAGCTGCATGACCTCTCGGGAGCTTGGGCCAGGGGTGTGCACGTGGGAAGTGCAGGGTCTCGGGTGGAGGAGGGGGTGTCCTCTTTGGGGCTTGGGTGGTGGGGCATTCAGAAGTTGCACAGCCTTGCTGGGGCTCAAGTGGGGAGAGGGGATGCGCGGGGTCAGACGGGGGCTCTGGTGGAGGGAGGGGGAAGTGGGAGCTGTGCGGCCTCATGGTGACTGGGGTGGAGCACATGGGAGCTGCATGGGCTCGGGCGTGGGGAGGAGGGTGCGCAGGACATGTGCGGCATCACCAGTGGTCTGGGGGGGAGCAGGTACATGGGAGCCGTGCATCCTTGCCTCTCGCCAGCTGGGGGCTGGAGCCACATCGCTCTCCTTCCCCCTCCCCTCCGCAGCCAGAGGGAGAGGACCAGGCACCATGCCCCCTCCCCTCTCCCTGCCAGAGGGAAAAGGCTGGGTGCCAAATCCCATTCCCCCTCATTTCCAGGAAGAAACGGTCAGGACAGCTCCAGACAGAGGGGAGAGAACCAGCCTAGCCTCAATCCAGCCCATTTTCTCTGCAACTCCCCTCCACCCACAAGCCGGAGTAGGGCGAGCCGGCACAGGCCAAGGCTTCTCCCCCTCGACCCGGC